TTTTTATGAGTATTGTTGTTGTTGTTAGTTAGTTATGTTTTATATTTGTGTTTATTAGGTTATTTATTATTATTTTTATTACGTGTTAGTTATCAAGAAGGACATTACAGAGATTGTATTCCTTATAATGTTGCTTACTAAAGGTACAGCACCTCACCGCTAGTTACACAGGCGGGGGAGTACAGTGTTAAGCATCACCCAGTCACTGCCACACATAACCATGGTCGATTGGTTACACACACACACACACACACACACACACACACACACACACACACACACACATAAAAGACATACATAGCTTTAATCACTCGGCCTACCCTCCCTCAATCACATCAACCTCACCACCCTCACACAGCGTCTCCACCAGCAGTAGTCCCCGCCAGTTGTAACACGGAGGTCGCCCAGCCACTGTTATTATGGCTCGGAATTTGTCCCTCTGAAGTTTCGGAGCTTCAGTATGGCGCCTAAATCTTTTTAATCTTATTTGAACTTCACCGCGTTTGGATGCTGGGCAGCGATAACAGCTTATTGTGATTTAAATTGAGCGAGTTTATATACCTTAGGCTTTGGCAGGCCGGACGACGCTACCCTGGGATGAAGGGCGAGCCGCGCTGGTGTTGTTGTACCGTTAATTAATATTATACTGTACTGTGGTCTAGTGTTATCTACTCACTCCCTCGCTCTGTTTTTATACGTGTGTGTGTGTGTGTGTGTGTGTGTGTGTGTGTGTGTGTGTGTAATGAGGATAGTCACAATAGAGTTAGTAAAGTAATGATGAATGATGGCACCCAACTTGAGTTAATCACGAGCAAAACAACGTTGAAGGTCAAAGAGAAAAGACTTGACAGAGACACAGGGGGGGACTGAAGAGGCGTGTTGAGGGAGCGTTAGGATACATCGTGAAAGATGAGACGTCAATCCTACACTACTGTGAATCCTGACTAAAACAAGTTACCCCCCAAAAAAAAAGAGTCATAATAAGAAACGTAAAATATAAAAAACAGAAGAAGAGGAAGAATTTGTTGTTATCTCTTTATTACTTTGCTTCAACAAGGAGACTCTTTAACCGCGTAACAAGTACAAGAGATGGAATTTAGTGGGTGGAAATGTATTAGTAAAAGAGAAGAGATACAAAACAAGAAGAGAATGATTGGCAAGACGAAAATAACTGGATTGAGAGTTTCGGTGTGAGAGACAGGATGATGATGACGATAAGAGATGCAGGAGAGAGGGAAATTGTGTAGTAAACAAGGAGGTCTAAGAATAAATCAAAATAAAGATAAAGTGAAAGAAATCTGTGCTGAAAGAGGTATAGTTCAACCAGTCAACACCACACCCAGCCAGTCAGCCATACAACTTACCAGTCAACGAGTTAGTGTATCTGTCACTTGGTACGCGAACCAGCCAGTTAGTACGTCGGTAAGATAGTATGAGAACCAGTCAGTTAATGCATTAACCAGTTAGTACGTCAGCTAGTTAATGTACGAACCAGTCAGTTATGTCGCCAGGTAGTTATTTAGCTAACCAGTCACCACGCCGTCCAATTATAATTACTAGCCACACAGCAAGCCAGCCAACCAGCTAGCCATTTACTAGCCACACAGTCAGCCAACCAGCCAGTCACTTACTAGCCACACAGCCAGCCAGCCACTTACTAGCCAGTCAGCCGGCCACCTTGACGTGCAGGTAGAGTCGAGGGTGACGGACGGTTCAACCTGTGTCACTGGAGATGGCGGAAATTAATTCTTATTCAAATTCGAACATTTTTTCGGCCAACAAAAATAGGTACAATGTTGCAATGAATATGAAAATACAAGAGCAAAAAGTAGAATTCTAATATACAAAACATACATGGCGTGGAAGTATTAGTTACGTGATGCAAATTTGTGGCTGTGAATGTTTATCCCGACGCGCCTGCACCCCTCCTACCCCTCCGCCCCTCCCCAGTCACCCTCCACGACTCGCATCCCTACGTTGATGGGCAGCAAGCACTGAGGTTTGTGTGAGAGAGAGGGAGAGTGAAAGACAGAAAGGCAGAGATAGATAGATAAATGGTTATATAGATAGATAAACAAAGATAGATAGATAGCTGTGTATATGCCTGTTTATATATAGTATATACACTTCTATACTAACAGTCCACTCTCTCGATATACGTGGCCCTCCCTCACAGCTCACTCAAATAGCCCCTCTTCTTGGCGGTGTTGTCAGCCAGTCTTAACACCCCAGCTCCCGGACTGAGGCTCAGGAAGGACTTGCATTATTTCCTTATGGTAAACACACAAGAAAAAGGACGTGTCTACATTTTTTTCTTCTAGCTGGCAGTATATATCTGGCGGGCTGGTGGCGTCTCACACACCTTGAGGACTATGAGGAAAAATACTCCTTTTTGTCTCAACTTGAAGCGATGAGGCGGTGTGACAAGAATTGTACGAATGTTCTTGGAGGTAAGATCTCTTGTGGACTTGCATATGAGATCCCTGTGACCTTTGTAGAAATGTTGTCGTAGGCTAAGATATCTTGTAGAGTTACATATAAGATTCAGGTGACAGTTTTGACTTTGTTGGTATGTTTTTGTAGATAAGTTCTCGTGTGGACTTCCATAACCTTTCTGAGGTCACGGATATGAAAGCAATCTTAATTTTCCCTCGCCATTCCGTATACAGGGAAGGATATTATGTTCCTACTGTCCATGCTTCCTTACGTACAGTACTTCCTTCCGTTCTTCCTTACGTCCGTCACACCCAAAATTGTTAGTGATTGTTAGTGAGATAAGCAGACAATATTCTGCGTAGAGTAATGCAATGTTGTAGGCCTGTTTTATGTGCAACCTTGAAAAACCTAATTAAATTTTCATTATGAGACAATACAAGTGTTGCAGCAGTGGGGACAAGTGTTGCAGCAGTGGGGGCACACGTGTTGCAGTAGTGGGAGGACACTAGTGTTGCAGCAGTGGAGACACAGTTATACAGTGTTTTATATCATAATTTTCAGTCGTTGGTGGACAAGTGAAATTATTAACCGCGTTACTCGCTTAAAACCCATAGTTATTAAAGTGCAGTAATAATATCATAGCATCAATATCACAAATGTTGCAGCAGTAAGGGCTCAGTCCACCACTCACATCCATTCTTAAAGACCTTAGTTACTGAAGCGCAGTAATCACATTATAACAACGAAGTCGAGTAAATATCACCAAGAGACAGCAACTCTTAACATTATTTTTTTTTAGAAATTCATATAGATTTAATTTACTACTTTAGATATAAGTTTTCTAATTTAGACCCTTAAGTTTCACCCGAAACTCGAAAAATAGTACAGATGGTCTACACAGAGCAGTTTAGGTAATCGCTTGTATGTCCACAGAACACATAAATTGCTTACTGTGATACATTTACGATTGACTGATAAAATATGATAATTTGAATTCCCCGTTTATTACAGTTATTATACACTTTGTATCTTTATTTACAGAGATATGAATTAACCAGCGATTTTAGATACTGCGCAGTTTATAAATAGAGAGTGAGTTTCATTATCCAGGTAGACTGTAACTGCAGCAGGACGGTACTAGGATACAAGGCACACTAGAGGCTCTGTATTTATCATTATTGCGGCTTTGTAAATACATAAAAAACTCCGATTCCTTTACTCATCAACGAAACCGTTTTCTAGGTGTGTTTTTCATGCTGGTTGTGTGCGTGGAGGAGGTGGGTTGACTGCGTGAAGGAGGTGGGTTGACTAAGTGGAGGAGGTGGGTTGACTAAGCTGCGTGAAGGAGGTGGGTTGACTAAGTGGAGGAGGTGGGTTGACTGCGTGGGGGTGGAAAACTTTCAATGACTGACTTTCAAGCTGCTGACATAGTTAAATTGGTTCTTGTACGATGACGGGATTCACTGAACCATTTAGAAAAAAAATCCCTATCAATTAAATATAATTCGTAGTATCGCACCCTCTTAGACTTTAAGAGCATGATCTAACTTATCAAACATGGTATCAAATGTCTCAGTCGGAAAGATGCTGTACTAATTTATGCTGCCGTCCAAGATAAGACACCGCAGCAAACGTGACAAGAAAGAAAGAAAGATACAACCTAGCTACTTAGTCTTCCCAATCATACCCAGCCATCCTGTTCATCAACCCCATGTAGCTATTTCTTCCCAATCCCACCCAACCATCTTATCTAACCATCTCCATCAATCATCCTGTCCCTCGCAAAGTAGATGCAATATTAGACACAATTTGGTAGAGTTATCCACTAAATATTGAGTCGCGATCACAGAAGACAAATACAGTTGTATATTAAAGAAAACGTACATATTTCCTTCTTTAGGGATAACACGCGAAAATTCTCTTCCATAGGGTATCCTCTGAAAGCTCGTGTGTACTTCAGTATAATAAGCTAAAATTAAAGAGGTTAAACAGAGGTACATATTCAAAGTTCTGAAAAAGTTCGCCCTCACATATAATTATAAACACTTTAATATTCGTTAATATTATTATCCATAAATCAAAATAATACCAAAACGAATACTGTATAGTGGAAAGCTCTGAGCTCTGTACCATTGAGGATGATTTTTTTTTTTCCATTTGACCATTGACATTACAATATTATTTCTCTTCAACAACTCGGAACTTTAAGCACGTAACCGGGTCAGTAATAACACCTATCAAAAATTAAACTTAACAAGAATAGTTGGTAAGAATTATGCTTATAAATATTCCAACGTAACTAGACGATAAATGATTTATTTTAGTACAGTAATTGATAATATGCGTCATTAGCAAACCCGTGATTTTTTTTTACAGTAACTAAAATTTATTAAATCTATTTACACATAATTTTAAGAAGATGTAATATTTAAATAGAAAATATCATTATGTTTCTAGGTTTTAGGAAATTTAAACTGAAGTTATATTTTTCTTAGTGTTATGGTTGTGGTCCTTGACGCATTGTTACAACAGTTATGATTGGCTGAAGTGAGGGCGGACGCTGATTGGCTGGTAGTGTCAGTCTCCAACAACAACAAAGATGGACGCGTGTACAGCAGTGGGGAGAGAGATTGATAAAGTTCTCTCAAAATTCACATCATACAGTGACCATGCCTCTAATACAATTTCTTCACTACGTGGTAACATCGAGAGTCTTCAAATAGAGATAAGCCAAGGTGAGTGATAGAGGTGACGTACACACTTATGGCCAACGACGTCAGACTTTGAGTAACAAAGAAATGTTTCTTGTGATGTGTGGAAATTAGTGATTTAAATGTCGTGGTAACGAAGAGTGTTAGGTGAACACAGTACATTACTTCTTAAGGCTATTAAGCTGAAATATAATTCAGGAATCATGTTCACAAAGTTTAGCTCATTGGGGATCACTGATTCCTTCAACATACTGTACTTGCATGTCAAGATGTAATTTATATTTCTTGTTATCATTTGATAAGGTGACGGAAAGTTGGACGAGGAGAAGTAGAAGGTAACGATTTGTTTTATGCCATAATGGGAATTTAATAACCAAAATAGGTTTTTCTTGTTATTCGTGGTGATTTAAGAACATAAGAACATAAGAATGGAGGAAACTGCAGCGGGCCTATTGGCCCACACTGGGCAGTCCCGTTTACACCCAACCCCTATTGCTCATATAAGCATCCAACCTATGTTTGAAGCAATTCAGCGTATTCGAGTTAATGATGATATTTGGTAACTTGTTCCATTCATCCACTACTCTGTTTCCAAACCAGTGTTTACCTATTTCACGCCTAAATCTAAATTTGTCTAATTTAAAAACCATTGTTACGAGTTCGCTCCTGGTTGGATAATTTGAGTACCTTTGTAATGTCCCCTTTGTTTAGCCCTGCCTTCCACTTATACACCTCTATCAGGTCGCCCCTCGCTCTACGTCTCTCAAGGGAGTGCAAATTAAGATGCTTTAACCTGTCTCTATACTCAAGGCTCCTAATGCCCGGGATTAGTCTTGTCATTCTCCTCTGAATTCTTTCCAAGGATTCTATATCCATTTTGTAATACGGTGACCAGAACTGAACTGCGTAATCCAGGTGTGGTCTCACAAGAGCAAGATACAGTTTTAGGATGACCTCGCTAGTCTTGTAACTAACACTCCTTTGTATGAACCCAAGTACTTTATTAGCCTTGTTACGAGCAAAAACACATTGTTTACTTGGCTTAAGGTTCCTACTTATCATTACTCCTAAATCTCTCTCGCAGTCGGATTTCTCTATGGCATCGTTGTTCATCTGGTATCTGGTTTCCCTGTTTACATCTCCTATACTGAGTACTTTACATTTGTCGACGTTGAATTTCATCTGCCATTTTTGAGACCATTCGAAAAATTTGTTTAGATCTTCCTGTAGTTTTGCGGAGTCCTCGTCAGATTTAATAACACGTCCTATTTTAGTGTCATCAGCAAATTTACTTATGTTGCTGTCAATGCCGATATCTATGTCGTTTATGTATATAATAAATAATAATGGTCCAAGTACTGAGCCTTGGGGGAATTCCACTTGTGACGTTGCTCCAATGGGACTTAGTGCCGTTAATGCTCACTCGCTGTTTCCTGTCCTGTAACCACGCCCTAATCCATTTATGGATGTTACCTTTGATGCCATGTGCTTCTACCTTTCTAATTAGTCTTTCGTGGGGGACTCTGTCGAAGGCTTTGCTAAAGTCGAGATATACCACATCACAATTGTGCCCCTCGTCCACCGATTCGAAAACTGATGAAAAGAATGTTAATAGATTAGTTAGGCAAGAACGTCCGCTAGGAAGCCATACTGGGAATCATTGATCAATCGGGTGCTTCTCCAGGTGATTTCGAATAGAGTTTGAAATGATTGCTTCCAGTAATTTGGCTCTACTATTGATGTTAGACTGATTAAGCGGTAGTTAGAGTGAAAGTGGATTCATCCCTTCTTGAAAATCGGTATTACATCTGCCATCCTCCTTGCGGATTCTGGTACTACACCTGTTTTTAAGGACATGTTAAACAACTTTGCTAAGGGCATACTAAGCTCTTCCTTACATTCCTTTAATACTCTGGCAAATATCTCATCGGGAACAGGTGACTTATTAGGCTTTAATTTGTCTATTTGCTTACTAACATCGTTACTAGTCACTACTATCTCACTTAATTTGTTTTCTTCACTATCTCTGAATAGAGTCGGTGCCTCGGGTATCATGTTTAAATTTTCGGTGGTGAAAACTGCTGAAAAATATTTATTCAAATTATTGCTCATTTCTCCATCGTTATCAGTGAGCTCGCCGGTATCTGACCGTATTGGTCCAATCTTTTCTCGTGTTTTAGTTTGATACATTTGGTAGAATCCTTTGGGGTTTGTCTTCGCCTCCCTTGCTATCCTTACTTCATTATTCCTCTTGGCTTTCCTTATCTCGGTTTTAACCCTACTCGCCAATATCTTATAATAATCCTGGAGGTAAATTTCGCCACGCTTTATCCTTCTACCTATAGCCTTCCTTTGGCCACATGTTCTTAAATAATTATTTAACCATTTAGGGTCATTAAGCTGTCTGATCTGAGTTTTTTGTATGGTAAGTGTTCTGCCTTTGTGCATTAAGTAACTCACTATTTAAAATTGTCGTGAACTCGCAACTTCAGATCTCAAGTATCAGGTCGGTGTCATCTGTCAGGTTCACGGCTGCCGCCGACACCCCTCTCTCAGCTGCCTCTTTTAAACTGTCAAAGTTTGCCTTCTGAAATCTACCTTTAGTGTGAATTTCTTTCCTTACGCTCTGCCCTGAAAATCTAACTGAATCACTTTGTGATCGCTGTTTGCAAGTTCGCTCCCTACCTCGACATTGCTAATGAGGTTTTCTGTTCGACAGAACTAAACTAGTATATTATTACCTGCAGGGTTCGGTTATATGTTGACTTAGGAAACAGTCCTGGATCGTCTCGAGAAAATCCTCTGATTCTGAGTTGCCCGTAAGGTCAGTCCAATCTATTTGGCCAAGGTTAAAGTCGCCTACTATACAGACTTTGTTGTGTATGGAAGCCCTGCGCATTTCATCCCAGATAAGTCGCTCATTGACGCTATCAAGATTGGGGGGTCTATATATTACTCATTTGAAAGAATATGAGCTTTATTTTTGTTGTTAATGCAAATTTTGGGAGATATAGCCTCTTTAACACTAGCAACGACAATGATTTCTTCCAAAGTGGGCAGAGCTTTGAAGGTGAGGGAAAATGTGCCATTAAAACACACACACAAAAAAACATCAAATTAACCATTGAAAACTCGACCTAACCTTACTATCATAGAAAAGCCCCACTGGTGTTTAAATTAAAAAAGCCCATACCTTATTTAACTGATGGCAGAGGAAAACGTGATTGTCTTTGTTTTTTGTGTTAGGTTTGATTTTGTTGTTTTTGCGTGTTTTTACCCCACATTTTCTCTCTCCTTCGAAGTCCTGCTCACTTTGTGTGATCAAATTGCATTTTTTTAAGTGAGATTGAAACATAAAAAAGAAAACTCGAACGAGCAACATAATTTTGTTACGAAAATGCAATAGAATTATTTTTTTTGTTTTTCTATATCTCCGCATACACAAATCAGTATAAAGGGCCATGCTTGGTCACTACCGAATAATTACCAAGTACAGTTCAAAACTCTTGGGAGACAAAAATTTCATCTATCAGTGTTTATTTGCAATATGGCCCCCTTGTAACGTAAACACCAAAAAACAGAAGAGAATCACTTACGAAAATATGCCTAAACAAGAAGACTTTTTGCATGGAAGGAAAGGTTAAGCCATTTTTTTTTTACATACCCACTTTGTGTAATTCATTGTCGTATCTCCTTAAATAAGCATTAGCTACAAAAAGAAAAGTCATATTCTTTCAAATCATCATGAAAAACATATTTTGGTTATTGAATTCTCATTATGGCATAAAACGATTCTTTACCAATTAGAATGATAAATTAAGGAATATTTTAATTATGGCACTGTACCTATTTAGTACCATCATTACAACAGTTGGTAGCGATAGAATCTTGAGTGTCTGCTAAATATCAAGGGTAGTACTTGACGAGAGTGGCCAGGCATTAGTACTAACTTGAGGAGTTTTGCCATAGAAAATACAAGTGTACATGCCTCAAGAAACTGACAAAAGTGCAGGAGGAATGCATTTTGTGTAATTAAGTTTTTATGTTTTTCCATCACCGGAGGAACAGCCTCTATCTGCCATGTTCCCTGTCTGAGATCGAGCATGAATTCATTTAATAGATTTTTTTTTTTTTAGATACCAGACTGCTACATTCTATAATTAATCATTCATGAAATGAAGAAGGCCAACCTGCCTAACCTAACCTAAAATACCAGTTTTTTATTTTATTCTTTTAAAATGACTTATGGAGAGTTCTGAGGATCAAAGATTCTGGCTAACGGAGAAATTACTGTATAATTTTTTGTTTACTCTCAACCTCACATCAAAAATACACCATCACATAAATAAACAATTGAAAAACCTTCACAAAACTAATTCATATTTCTTAGTACAGTATTGAATATGTTTATAGGAAATGTAAGTTATAATAATATTTATTTTGCTCCTTCCTTCATTTTTGCCCCACATATTCCCTGTATAAGTGAGACACAGTAAGGTTTTACAACTCATTTGTTCCTTTACTTGCACTAGCTACTTTCTATTTGTTTAGTTATCTGAAGAGATTTTTTTTACAAACTCTTTAGCTTCTTCTTTCCCCACCTTCCTCAACCCCAGTCTTGCTATGGCACAGGGTGACTGGAATCAAGAGACCAACATACTGTACATACATTTCTTCCTATCCTGTCATTTGTACTTTCTCTTTGCCATACCAAATGAAGCTTGTAATCAAAGATATTTTGGTTCCAGTAGGCAATGGTGATATAACAGAAGCTCAGGCAGTTATTTTGAGCCAGGCTCTTGGTCGAGTGAAGGAAGCTGTGACACGCCTGAGTACTGAACACAGAGATCTTCATTCCTCTGTTTCCAAAGTTGGCAAAGCCATTGATAAGGTAAACGCTTAGAATGATGTAATTTTTGTAAATTTTATTTACAATGTAAATAAAATGCTTGGGTTATGTTATAGTAAAACATTTTTCTTTATCAGTTCTGTTGTTTAATGTTAGGTATTGGCTTTTCAGAATTTCACAGCAGACTTTGGGTGTATCAGCAATGATTCGGTATTTAGTGGAGAAAAACAGCAGCTTGTGAATGAAGTAATCTGTCAGCACTTCTTTCGGGAGGGGTTACTGGACATTGCAGAGGAATTCATCAGTGTAAGTATTTTATTGTCCCTCACCACCTTGGGAGGGGAGTCCAGGAGTGAAAGAATTCCATCTGAGTGTGTGTGTACAGTATCTGCCCCACTTGGTGTGTGGATGTCGCACAAGATACTGTACAGGACTGTAATGACAGCAGAGGATTTGTCTGCCTGGAATGGCAACTTTGCCATACATAAAGTATTTGTAAAAAAAAATTACTTCACATAATTCCAAACATTTAATAATGTGTTAAGGTTATCTTAGAAACTTGAGACAGAAAATCAAATCATAAACCTTTTGATATATTAAGAGGTTTATAAATATCTTATTTCATAATAATAAAATAGGTACACCATCACCACGAATAATGTACAACATTAACATGACTTTTGGCAAATTTTATAAGAAAACAATATTATAATGTAGTGCAGGATGTTGCCTTCACATAGCTGTCATGATGATGATTCGTACTTATATGATCATTGTGATATCCAACAGGAAACAGGACTGGAGTTGCAGGAGGAGTCCCGAGAACCTTTTTTCGAACTTAACCGAATCCTTGCAGCCTTAAAGGCACGAGATTTGGGCCCGGCTCTTCAGTGGGCTGAGGAAAATCGAGAAAAGTTAAGGTCACAAGTAAGTAATTCGTTAATTATCCGTATAAGATCAAGTCAGGGAGCAGCTAGGTGATAATTATTTACACTAATTTTATCTTTACTTTTACCTTAGCTTATTGGTGCAGAAATATTTTTTTTTCATTGCAAGCTGGTTATTGTATAGTGTCACGTCTCCTCCACTTCATCTACCATGAATTTTCAACCCTTTATCAACAGATGAGGTTTCTGCCTTCAATGTATAAGTTAAAGATAAACATTTTTTTGTTGTGTGACCACCTGATTGAAGGTTCTTATCATATAGCTATAAGAGCTAAGTTTTTTTTTTTTTTTAGGAAATGTAATCGTATTTTTGAGGAGTTTAATAACTTTTGTTTGACAAGCAGAATAGCAGTTTGGAATTCAAGTTGCACCGGCTTGCATACATCAATTTGATCAAGGAAGGACCACCCTGTGTTCCACAGGCCATTGAATATGCCCGAGTTCACTTCACTCCATTTGTATTTCAACATGAAAAAGGTAATAAAATGACTTAATTCAAAAATAATAAATAAGGTTGTCTTATCTCTGATCCAACAGACTTCCATGCTTATGTGACTAAATTTGAATTTCATCTTGAATTACACTTCCTCAGGTGTTGGAACGAGTTTATAGTCCTGATTGAACCTTTTATTGATAGATTTGAAACACACAGATTCATGTAAACAGGAGTTCACATATTTCCCCACTGTTAAGTACTACTGAATAATTTTGTTTGTTATTTATGTATTACAATACACTGTACTTTAAAAATGCAGCTACTGTTGGTCTTACAATATACACAGTATTTAATATTTCTATTATGCTTTTCAGTAATCCAAAGTCTTATGGGATGTCTCCTATATGTGAAAGGTGGCTTGGAAAATTCCCCATATGCAGACCTTCTAACCCCACATCAGTGGTCAGAAATTTGTGACGTCTTTACACGAGATGCTTGTGCTCTTCTTGGTCTCTCTGTTGACAGTTCTTTGGCTGTGTGGTAAGTGTAAATTTCCTTTACATGTATTTACCTTGTGTGCTAAGTTTTACTTGCAAATTTTCCCATGAGAAATATGAATAAAAAGTAAATAAGATGTACTGAAGACCAGCTCCAGATTTGTACCCATATTAGTGTATACCATACCTCCAACCCTTCTAAATGGTCCGTCACTTTGACTCTAATTTGGTTTTGTTGTACAGTACTTAATATCACCTTCATCCAGGCTTTTGTTTTTTATTGCATTGTGATGCTTTTAGATTCTCTTTGGAATAATTACATTTCATATTGAGAGAAAAGAATGCTTATGTTATCAGAGGCTGATGGGTGGCAGTTGCTGTTAAGAGAGGTAATGAGTGAGGTTGTAAGTGGCAGTCTCAGAACGTGTAGTTCAGCTTCAGTATTCACATGTAAGGAAGTGAAATATTGGTGTGTAATACTGGAAGAAGAGTGCTGTAATAGAATGTGTTTTTAAGAACTGGGTGTGTTCCTTGATTATGAAAAATGCTGATTGAGAATTCAAAAAGTGAAAGTGCAGGTACAGTAAGTCCTCGCTTAACTTCGTGGTTCTGTTCCTGAAAACCGGACTTTAACGGAAACAACATTAACGGAATTAATTTTCCCCATAAGAAATAGATAAAATATGGGAGTTACATTCCTGAGCTTCCCTTTGCCCCATGAAATACATTACATGTACAGAATTTCAATGGCATTCGAGCACGATGTGTCTTTGTTGCACTCAGATATGTACTGCTTCCAGCACCAACCTTAATCTTGTTCGTGTTGGTCCGGATAGTACGCATTGTTGTGGGGGTTAGACTTAGAGCAGCATCTATGTCCACCACAGGTTCCCCTTTTTCAAAACAGTTTAAAACCTCCATTTGCATAGCAAGGCTTATGGTCTTACATTGCTTCTTCACAACACCAGCATCAGTAGCACTGGATGGGCACTTCGAAGCCATTACAAATGGTTACAGTACAGTATTAAGAACAAAGACACTTAAACACACGAACGCTGTGAAAACATGACAAAGACTGGAGTCGCTTGGGGATGCTGTGACGTTTCACTAGTGAGAGGTAGCGCGGCAAGACGAGAGAGGGTGATACGCCGTAAAAAGTAGTCCGTGACTCCGCAAAAACTACCTTATATTGAGTCGTTGGGACATTATCTGAATTATTGGTATCTAAAGAGTGGCGACTTTATAAATAAACAACGTTATCGGGGGCAACGTTAAATGGGGACTTACTGTATTGTACAGTATATGGAATTAGTGCTAGATGAGAAACGGTGGTGTCCTAAGGAATTTTAGTTATCCTCTATATCTTTATTCGGCTCTCTGTTATTACCCTATGCATTATTTCCTATTGAAATACATTGATCGATTTAACATGATTTAATTTTGCACACCAATTCTCGGTTCCACTCTCGTGTTAAATTAGGTGTCTACTGTATTAAATGTGAGCGACAGTTTGATAGATGGTATACTGCATCACTAGACCCTGTATAAATTTATGGATCATTTAAAGACTACTCACCTTAATGTCAACCTAACTTAATCCCTCCGGTAGCACAAGGGTGTTTAATCTTCAGGTGAACCTAATTTATTTTAATATTTTCTCCTCATTAAGTTTCTTTTTTCTATTTCAGTGTTAATGCAGGATGCACAGCTCTGCCAGTTCTTCTGAATATCAAACAGGTTATGCAGCAACGTGCAGTACACAACATGTGGAACACAAAGGAGGAATTACCAGTAAGTTTAACCTCCAAATTAAATTTTTTAAAAATTTTATTAGGTGCCTGTAATTGAGGGAATTCATCCATCTCTCTGTCTTCCTGGTATAGTTTATCTTGTCAGGTCTTTGGCCCCTTAACCAGTGCCTTGGTTTTGTAGACAACTAAGACGAACGTTTTTTTCGTTGTTAAATCTTTTCATTTTGAATGTTTAGTAAATCACCGAGCATTAACACGGTGAGAATACAAAGCAGCAAAATTTTATAATGCAATGCGAGTATTCTGAGAGCTGTGACCATCGGTGATTAATACATTCACTTAGGAATGTGTTTGTCATATTCAGTTAATATATACTGTATATATATATATATATATATATATATATATATATATATATATATATATATATATATATATATATATATATATATATATATATATATATATATATATATATATATATATATATATATATATATATATATATATATATATATATATATATATATATATATATATATATATATATATATATATATATATATATATATATATATATATATATATATATATATATATATATATATATATATATATATATATATATATATATATATATATATATATATATACGGATCAGCTCACCCGGGCAGAGGTCACTGACCCACATCAGGGCCTGGGGGGCGAAAATATTATATTAATAACACTTATAATACAAAATTTAAAATAAAATATTAATAACAATAATAATAATAATAATAACAACAACACTGATGATAATAATAATAAAGAACCATGAAGAAATAAAAAAAAAAAATGAAAAGTGAGAAATGATATAATAATAATAATAATAATAATAATAATAATAATAATTAACGGTTTATTGAAAGAGCTTGGCAGTCAGAAGGCTGAAAATATACAGTTACATATTTGGGGAATGGGTTTCGAATTACAAATAATATACAAGTAACATAAGTGATACAAATATGATATATAATAACTAGATGGGGAAAAGCTCAAACTACAGTGCATTTCAACATAGTGACAGTGCAAGAAGTAGTATTTACTGGGAGTGAATACACTGGTTTATTACAAGTTATTGATAATTTTACAATGGTTGGGACTGGGCTGTTCTTATAGCGATCAGTTCGTGCACGTATGGACTGGATGCGGTTGTGGTGTCGAACAGCAATTCTCGGGCTAGGGATCTCAGGTGGTAGTAGGAGCCGTGTCGAGGATGGTGTAGAAGCTTCTTACCAAATTTGCAGATGAGGTCGTGGTGATGGTCAGTGAGAGTCGAAAGGGTCAGTGTGTTGAGCGCTTCTTGATATGTGGAGTAGGAAAGGGAGAGAATAATTTTGCATGCCCTCTTTTGCACTTTTTCTAGGTGTTTACGTTGTGTGGCATTTAGGGAGGAAGACAAGGTAGGGGAGGCATAGGTGAGCTTGGGAAGTATGAATGTTGTGTAAACACTGAGGAGCTCGGGTGCAGGAACTCCGAGGGACTTGAGTCGGCGTAGGAGGTGGAGACGGAAACTGGAGGATTTGACAACTTCACTGACATGTGGTTTCCAATTTAGTTTGTTGTCTATGGTGACGCCGAGGAGCTTCGTGGAATCTACAACCTGGAGTGTGCTCGGACCTAAAGTAATGGAAGGAGGTGGGACAATGTCGGAGGAGAGGTTGATGTGCATAACCATGGTCTTGGTATGGTTGTTGGTGGCCCAGTTTTGGAGACTGTTCAATAAATCCTGAAGGGCGGTATAGTCGGGAGCAGAATTGTTGACGCTGATCCCAATGGTGGAGTCGTCGACATATTTTCAGCGAGCAGGGGTTTCTCTTAGGGCATCATTGATGAGCATAAGGAAGCAGAGTGGTCCCATCTTGGTGCCTTGGGGGACGCCAGAGGTAAGTGACTGAAAGGTGGAACAGCCCCTCGGAAGCGTACAGCTTGGCGTCGGTCACTGAGGAAGTCTGTAAGCCATGGTATAAGACTTCTCCGAAGCCCGAGGTCAATAGCTTTGTTGATGATTATATTGTGGTCGACTAGGTCGAATGCTTTAGTGAAATCTATGAAGGCGACAGCTACAGACGTTTTTCGTTTCTCGAGATGGCGGTATATGTAATCGAGAAAGCTGACAAGACAGTGAGTGGTGGAGGAAGTTTTCATATTGCCAAATTGCTGAGGGTCTACGACTCCTGCAATATCAGCATAAGCCCAGTTGAACACAAAACTTTCACAGATTAGGCTGGGTATTGGGGTGATTGCATTAGGTCGTAGCTGATTTAAGGATTGTGGGCTGGTTGACTTGGGCACTGGTGATACATAAGAGGTCTTCCAGTCAGCTGGGCATCTGGCTTGACTGAGAGAAGCATTGATGATGGAGCATAGAGGTTTAGCAAGCTCCGGGGAGAACTCCTTGAAGAGTTTCATTGGTAAGGACTTACGACCTACACGACTTATGACCACCCGGACATACGACCGCGAGAGACTTTGTAAATAAATATCTGATTGAATGAATAGTGCAATGCCTTGTATATCTCATTTGTACTAATTGAATATTTTGTGTTCACATAGCTTTTAAAATTGATATTGGTCATATTTTTACAAAAGATTCAAGGTAACTTGTGCTAGATTCTGCTTGTTGTCACATGAGATCATACAGTATGGTATCATACTGATTGATGGTCCTGACACAAGGTTTTGATGGTTCCTTGTTAACAACATTAGCAGTCTTCTCTGCTGCTTCCTTAAAAAGAATTAAACTATGTGGTAGCAAATGTTTTGTGAAATAAATAACAAAGCAAATAAAGTATAAAAGTATATAGAGAATAAATAATAATGTACACTCTAGGACTAAAGTCGTTGACAGCAGCTACACAGAACCTACACTAGTGACCTCTGGCAATGTGTAAAATCATAAGTTAAAACTGATTTGAAATAAATAGAATAAAAAGTTTCATAAGTTTAAAAATTAAAATAAAATAATGTACTACTTTAAAATCACATGCAGTTAGCTACCCCTATTGCAGTGAAAAGATTTTCCTCATTGCGAGAGGTCACTAGTGTAGGTTCCGTGCGGCTATCCACGACTTTGGTCCTAGACTGTACCTCGAGTTTTGCTATCTATTTCACAAAAGATTTGCTACTACAGTACAGTACTTAAATATTCTCTCAGGAAAGCAGCAGAGAAGACTGCTAATGTTTGGTATAATTTGATCAATATTAATTGCAGAAGCTATGTGAACACAACAATAATATTCTATTAATGCAAATAAAGATAATCAGCATATAAAGCTTTTTATTCACCTAGACAATAATTATTTATGAAGTCTTACTTCTTGCAAATGTCTCCATACAGGAGAAGCTGATGGGTGTTGAACATAAACAAACCCAAGATACAGAGTGATGCTGACATACCTAGCTAGGCAACTCTCCTGTTATAAAATGTAATGATTTAATTTATATATTTATGTTTACCACAATATATTCTTTATATTATTATTTAAGAAGACAAACACGTTCACAACTGAGTTTGTGTAAGTGTGTGGAAGTAAATCTAGACATAGCCAAGGAAGGAAATTTAACCAAACCCATGGAAGAAAATGTTCTCTTTTCTGAAATCTCTTGGTTACTGAGATCCAATTTTGAGGTCCTACATCTATACAGCTTCACAATACTGGCTGAATTGTTTTGGGAAGATTCTATATCTTGGCAGGGAAAGGGATGAAGAAACAGCAGATAGTGACTTCATGCTCTTCATCTGCAGGACAAATACTGTATTAAATTTCTGGACCCTTTGCCTAGGTTTACACTTGAAAGCAATGAATTAATAGACATTGAAAAGTTTACATTATGTCCAAATCTTAATAAAAATTAAATAACAAGTGAACTTGCTGCAGTGTTTTAATATATTTTGCTTTCCAGATTGAAATAGACCTGGGCCCGTCCTCTCGCTATCACTCTATATTTGCCTGCCCAATTTTACGTCAGCAGTCAACAGAGAGCAACCCCCCCATGCGTCTGATCTGTGGCCATGTGATCTCCCGAGATGCTCTTAATAAACTCACCACGAGTGCTAAGTGAGCAGTGTTTTGTAATTTGAATGTTCTTTGAAGATTTTATTTTAATTGTATTTTTAATGTATTGAGGTTCTCTTTTGCCTAATTTATATCAAGCATTAAGTCAGATCAATTGCATGGGTTATTTTGCTGTAGAAATTTTATATGCAGTGCATGTTGCTTCCTATCTTCCATTTATAAGCTTGGTTGTTCCTGCCACATATAGTACAGTTTAGCAGCTTATTTTCAAAGGACACACATTCTTAGAGCCATTAGTACACTGCCGTATATATCCAAATGATATTAAGCTTTTTAGTGAGTTTCAAATGTTCTTGAAAAGAATCTGAGATGTTGTGGCAGATGAATACTGTGCTCCGTACATGAAGTAAGTTAGAAAGGAAAATTAGATAAATACACAAGTACAGTTTATCTCTTATAAAATATAATGAAAGATAAAAATTATATGTACTGTATTCAAATGCTGTATCCCCTTTAGGAGAATATCTTTCTTGTTTTGTAATTATTTGTTTATCTTATTGTCTTCTTCCCCCCTTGAGAGGTAATGATGTTTTTTTTTGAGAGCCCATTACTTGTTGAGTCTCGTATCAAATGCTGGTACAAACAGAGGGAGTGTAGGGTGGGGAAAGTTTTCTGGAATCTGCCCAGTGCTTGTTCAATCTCTTCACTTACTGCCCAAAGCTGAGCAGGGTGAGGAATAGTCTCTGTTCCTTGTTTTTCTGAAATTACCAGGATGAAGACCATGGGTACCAGAGGTATAAAATGTGTGTGTGTGTGTGTGAAATCATTATTAGCTTGAATCATATTGAAATTTTAATTCAGTAACATTTATTATACAGGGTATTACCCTGTTCACTTTTGAGTGTTTAGCAAATTATAAAAGTTTTCAAAATGCTATTTCTAAACAAACTGGTTTGATACTTTTTCTGAAATTTGAGAGCTAACAGGTGGTTTGCAGTTCACATATGTTTTTGAAGGGATTTAAAGCTTATTTTTTTCGGCAATTTTTTTTTGTTTTATGGGCATGGTCTCAAAAAGCTAGAGTTTGTTGGTCCCTTTTATTGTTCTCCTTTACTCGATATTTTGATACCTTGAGCATTTACTTTGATTGGTGATTGAGAGGTTGAAGAAGTGTGACCTAACTTAACCTAATCATACCATTTAAGGGTACATGACCTGACTAGTTATGAAAGGATATTAGTTAGTTGTAAACTTTATGCTGAGAATACAAATCTCTCCATAAACCAGATTGAATGTTGTCACTTGTGTAATTTTCTGAATTTCAACAACAGTCACAAATTTAACTACAGTTTGGGATTCTTTGGGTCCCATGTTCTGATAAGATCAAATTGCTCTGTATATTGGAAACTGAAAGTGTAACCTAATTCTCAGTTTGCCAGTAAGTTTGGGGCCAAATAGGGCTTGGCAGGAGCAGCATTGTGCTAGATCCAAGCAACTCGAGTGTGAGGCATAGCCATTTGATATTCTTGTGTAGTTCTCTCTCATGACCAGACAGTTTCCATGGATATCAGTGTCTAGTTTACCAGATATGAGAGAATTTCTAATTAATTCCACTATGGAGACTAAAGGATGTGGAAAATTGGGTACTGTCCTATACTGTACTTCAGTGATTCATGTGTGAGTAGCAATCTAAAATAATCCCTGAATAATTCCAAATCTTACATTTTGTGTCTAGGCCATATCCAAGACTTTCAGTGCCCAACATACCAGATGTAAGAGAACTCCAAATTCATTCTTTTATTTACAAAAATTATTTCCAGCTCATATTGCCTCTTCAAAGCTCAGTTATTAAATGCAAGTGGAATTCTATTGAATTCAACTCAAAATTTAGCATATTTGGGAATATTTTGCTAATCATTATCATGGTAAATACTTTTTGTTTTATCTATTTTCACTGTTATAACATATTTTACCATTAGCAAGCACTTCAATTCTGTAAAATTATCTTTGTCACAGGTTTGAGAATCAGTCACCTTCTGGGGGCACATACCCAGGCCTCATCCTTATATCACCACATAATCCAGAGTTAAAAGAATCTGCTTGATGACATCATATCATAGTTGAACTTTTTAAAATATTGACACGTTTATATTCGACTGTTGACCCCAGTGATACACATAGATACTGTAGTCAGTGATTGGTCAAGTGTCATTAAGTAAATCACTGACTGCTTTTTCACTCTTTTCAGATTGAAGTGTCCATATTGCCCTGTAGAACAAAATCCTGCAGATGCTGTTCAGATCTTCTTTTAATCTTTATCATCTGTTTAAGATAAGAGTTTAAAGTTGAATACTTAGATTTTATCAATGTATTCAATATAGAATATTAATTGCTACAAGACTTGATTTTCTAAAGTAGGTCTTCAGAAAACTCACAAGGTTAATACTGTATATGACAAGTTTGTATTCATTTCACCAACATAGATGTTAGATAGCTTCAGTTTTTGGTAACTGTTTCTCCATATGCAAATAGCTCAGTGTTTTCATAATCTGTTTCTCACAGGTCTTACTATTTAGTGCAATCATCTACTCAGTCAATTTTTTAAAAGCTTGATACATTTTTATATTCAAGATAAAGACTTGGTGAAATATTACATGAGTGTTAAGGAGCTATAGCAAATGTTAGAATGTTGAAAAATAAATGGTTTTCAATGTACAGCTCCTCCCCGACTTACGCTACTCGACTTACGACCACTTGCACTTACGACCTGCCTCAGTCGTACCCAAATTTTGTCATATTACGTATTTTCGAGTCCCAACGTCAGTACACAGAGAAAATTTTCGTTTGTAATTCACTTTAAAAAGGCTGGCAAGCTTAAAAGTGAGAGTTTTGTGGTGCTGAGAAGAAAAAGAGACACCCATTTTAGATTTTCTATGTATTATTTAAGCATTTTCGACTTACGACCTGGACTTGGGTCCCTAACCCCGTCGTAAGTCGGGGAGGAGCTGTATTGTACGGGAGACATTTTGTGCGTCAGTAAAGAAGTAGGCGGAGGACTGGTTATTAAATGCAAATTATTTTGACATTACAATATAATGTGCTTAGCATTATTGGCATAATTGTTTGAAGTGTTAGTGCACTGGGTGAAAGTGTCCATATTCTAACTTGTATATTATTTCTGATTTTACCCACACTCACTAATAGATTGAATACCCATGTTCATAACTTTTGGTGAAGACTGTAGAGAGTATGAATGACATTTCTTGGAGACATTTTACTTGGTATGAATTATGGTTGCATTTGATTTTGTCCTGCAACAGGAAGAAATACTTTAGGTGAAATTGGTTAACATGATATTATTAGTTTGATGTAAAAATTAACAATTCATGAAGCAGGATTCACTGGTGGTAGTATATCTTAATCTTGGTTCATTACAATGTCTCTCAGCTATCTATATTGGGTGACTACAGCCTTTGGAGTATTGTAGAACACAGTACAGTATTTGATTTCATTGATGCAACAAGCCTTCAGTTTGCACAAGGTATTCTACGGGAGACATTTACTCCAGTGTGTGCACAGATAGCTTATTTATTCAGATGTTTATATATTTTTCAAGTAACTTTAAGTTTCCTATATAGAATTATATTACTCAGTTTTAATCCTCTATATGGAAAGGTCTTATATCATTGCTGTTATGTTATACAAAAAAAAATTGAGTTAGGACTTTCTTGTGATAAATCTTAATAACATATGTATACATGTTTTTAGAACTGCATTGTGTTTCATTTAATCAGTCCAATTCAATCTTTTAAGCTGCATTCTTGGTACAGTACCACATTACTGTACTCATGTGTCAACTTTTACAGGGGGGATATATATGTTTGTGTTTATGTATATAGTGTAGTATATATTACTATATAATTATTTATTTCTGTTTTTCTATCTCTCTTCAAAATAAGGTTAACAGTCTTAACAATATTCTTCTCACATTACTGGTGAAGCAAGATTTTTTTTTCCCCAGATCATTGATGTAACTTTAAAACAGATCCTAATAGTGCAAAAAGTGTCATATCAATTGTCTTTCATTGCCATTTACTGGGGTTTCTACCTTCTGTTAACGTCAAACAGCAAAGCATTGTGGATAATTTTTCTATTTACTGCTGACTGTTTTATTTTTTCTGTATATACTTTTATTTTATGTTCTCTTCGTACAGTATCTGGCATTGTTGAGACCAGAGGGTTGACAGATTATTTTGGGTTGTACTGTATACTGGTACTCGATTATAGCTCGAGTTTTTATCATCAATTTTTTTTGCATAAAGTAGGGGGTCAAACTATACATTAACATTATTTTTGAGGGGTAAAAATTCATGCATTTTTGTGTGTGGTATTTATGGTGAACGACAGTAACCCAGTACATGCTCATGGTAGGCTGACCTTACCATAAGCTCCTTTCTCCCGGGTTTACCTACCATGATTCTTTCTTTATATTATTACATGAAGAACAGAACCTCATTAAAAAACACTGATGATGTCGTAAAATCAATGATAACGGCCAACACTGCTCACAACAACAAAGGCAAAGCACTTTACAGTCATAAAAAATATAGCAAAAATCACTTTACGGTCACTAAAACAGAATACGATGTGAACGTTAGTGATGTCCTCTCACTCCAAGGTAAAAAGATAATAAGTAACAACACTAATACTGACCGATAATCATTGAGCTATACGATCACGGGCATGTACGATCATCATGGATCAAAGCTTGGGATTGTAATGCACCGGGCGGCTGTATGCAGGTAGACGTCGGACGATGACCATCTTAAATAAGGGGGTGGTCTTAATACATCACCATCTTTGAAACAAAATATTGTAGATAGAGAGATGGTAAATTGGGGGATACCTGTATATGATACTAGAAAAATTACCTTGTGTATTTATTAAAAATATAAATGAATATAATACTGTAAATGAACTGTGCCTCCGTTTCCTAATGTATTCCTCTGTAAATGTGAGGAATTAATTAAAATAATACAGCACTAATAAATATAAAAAAAGGAAAAATACTGCATTGCCATTTGGCAGTCGTTTCACTAAGGACACACAGAAGACAGGAGCACACACTGTATGAATGATTGTGTGTGCATGTAACAGTAAAATAAAATGAATAAAATTACTTGTATCTACCCAAAAGTACGAGTTGAAAAATAACAATAGCACAGCTTGGCCTGGTGGGGGGATGTAGCTACAGGGACAGTAATTTGGAGTCCACACACACACATACTGTACGTTCACTTCACTCATGTACACATCCATGCTCCTCATTTTTCTTATTTCATAGCCACCTTGCTATCTCCACGGAAATGTACTGTAAAATTTATAGTACTATTTATTTTTTATTAAACTACTTTATACGATTTTTTATTCAAATTTAATTAAATGTAAAATTTGGGTATTGTTTAGCGAAGTAACATGCAACTTGGTTAGGCTTTGGCGAGTGTTATCCACGGCCGTTGAACCTACCCCCTGCAGTTGGCGTGTAAATTTGATATTGGTCATCATTGACATAGTGAATGTTTCAGTTCACAGGGACAAAATGTATATAGTCTGGTAGTGTCATGTGTTGCATCCTCTTGAGGACAGCCATGTTACTATATTAGGACTTTTTTATATTATAGTATTTGTTATATGTTGAATTGCTCTGAATTTAAGTATACAGTATTGTCATACTAATGGTAGAATTTGGGATAATCTACTTTACAGAGCAGACGATGCTGCCTCACATTCAGAAGAACTTTTTTCCTTTGTGATTCTGTGCATGCTTAAACCCAGAAGTCACAAGATGTACAGTAACTGCTTTTCTCAGTCAGGATGTAGGAGGTGAAATGGTTCGTATTCTGTGGAGAAATTGCCTCAGCCTCAGGACAGTCTTCTCAATCGGGATAGTGAGGTTAGTGGCAAAAAAGCCTCTGCTGTGAGTCAGGGTAAAATACTGCAGTTAACACAGTATGGAAAGTTGAGGCATTTGACTTGTTACTTCCCTCACACTTTTATTCAGCTCCTATGTTCTCAGTAGGAGATGCTGTGCTCTTAACTATTCCTCTTATGTATTTTCACGTCAACTAATTTATTGTTCAAATACTATGTTATGCAAGTCTTTATCTATGGCTAATCTTATGAAGCTAATGGACTAAGTGAACAATCTTTTGATTCAGCTGGAAGATTCCCTTAACTGTTTAGTACTTTTTTGTAAGGTTTGAGTCCAATTACGACAGGAGGTAGCAGAATGTGTGCTGCTGGGGTAATTCCTGAGGGGTTTTCCATGGAAATATCGATTTACACGCTCACACTCACTGTTAAGTTTGGACAAGATAATTTTAATGAATTGGAAATTTATGGGTAATGGTAAAGGGATTGGCCATTTAGAAACTCTTGAATGAGTCGTTCTTTGCAGCTTTTACCTTTACTCACTTTTCTTTGTTAGTTTCTTTAATTATGGCAGTGTGCAGATCTGCCCAAAACTGATTTACTCCGAGAGTTGATCATTAGGTGTTTAATGAACACTGACACGAATGAAGATTGTCAGTACCAAATTGCTGTTGTATAAATTGACATGTGGTATTTCTGCATTTCTTTGGTTTTAAACTTTCTGTTATGTCGATTAATGAAAGAATATCTTATAATATTATTACACATTTCATTAAAAATTTAGTTTTTATTAAATATAATAAGTTTATACAGGACAGTACTGTACTGTGATTAAGACATTTATATGGACATCAGATTTGATTGGAAGTTGCTATATACAGTGGCCCTCGGTTAACGAACTCAATCCGTTCCAGAAGGTCGTTCGTTAACCGAAACGTTCGTTAACCGAAACCATTGTTTCAATGGGTTTTTGGGTAATTGGTTCCAGCTCACCGAAAATTTCCTAAATTCAACAAAAATGGTAGAAAGTTCACTTACTTTGAGGTGTGTATGTAGAAGGCTCCTGGATGATGATGATGATGATGGGATTTAGAATGGGGGTGGAGGAGAAGGAAGAAGAGAAGGTATTGGGGTGGAAGAGAAGTCACCCCATGGTGCCATTTCACCCATAAAATTTTAGCTCTCTGGTTTAATTCAAGATTATTTTCTTTAAATCAACGCTGCACTGCATTATATATTGTCAATATATAAAATATATTTCAAAATGACCAATAATTTGCTTGGAAACACAGAAAAAAAGCGTTTAGTTGAAGAGAGTCTCAAGCAAGATGTTACCTCCAGTGAAAACAGAGAGAGACTGACGCCTGTTTGCTGTGTTAAGAGGCTGGATGCCGCCCATTAAACTAGTCACTTTACCTTCAATTTTGTTCAATAATTGTTAAAATGACTAAAAAATTGAATATTAAACTTTTAAAATTATTGAATAGTATAAACTTCTTGATATTTACAAAAATAGTAAGGAATTTAAGCCCTAGAACCGATTAATGTATTGGCGGACTGATACTAAAGCTGGTTGCCCGGTCAGTGCAAGCGAAAACATGTTGAGGTCGGTTCGTAAGAAGTTCGTTAAGCGAATTTTTTTTCGTTAACCGAATTGAAGATCCTTATGGAAGGCAGTTCGTTAATCGAAATTACGTTAACCGAGGTGTTCGTTAAACGAGGGGTCACTGTATCATTTTTGTCCATAACTATACATTCCTATGAAAGAGAATCCCCCCAAACTTCTTAGAATACAGCAAAACTTGTTTTTAATGAAAAATTTTGGTGTACACAATGATATTAAGCCATAAACATAGGAAGTTAAGTAAATGCAGTGCAGTTTAGTAATAATTTTATACTGTACAAAACTCACAGAATTACAACTAATATGGAATCATCCTGCATTTGGAAAGGATTCTGCACCTATTGTTCTGAATTAAGGAAAGGTTACTGTAATCCATAGGCTTATAATAACCACCCATCTGTTCACCTACTGATCATAAAATGAGATATGAGGATAATCCTCATTTGATACATTCACAATACTATACAGTAAGATGGTAAAACTATGAAATGGATCAGTAAAATACACACACTACAGTACCAAATGCTGGTCTACAACTTCTATAATTACTGCACATTCTGTGACTGATACTTTCCCACATTCTATTACTGTTTTGTTCCTTAAATGTGTAACAGTATCTGCATTTTCCTGTTACTTTCTTTCCCAAAACTTATATATTTACTGAGAAATTCTCAAGCACTTTACACTTTATTGTGTTTCACTTGTGTGATAACCAAACCAACAAGTACGTACAGTTCTTTGGGAAATATTATAAGTGTTCCTGCAAGTCTTCAGGCCATGTGGTTCATTGATATGTTTGGCAAAACTTATGTGAGACTAGTCAGCAGATGGATTATGGCATCAAAGGAGAGAGGATCAAATATACAGTACACTATACCGTACTTTTCTTCAGCTAGAACAGTACTGAATATCACAGGTCTTGTATCACTTTAAAGAAATTCACTTCTTCAAAGCCATTACAGGGGGCCCCCAAAATCCGCGGGGGTTAGGTTCTCAAAATGGCCACGAATTGCCAAATCCGCGAATAACATTTGCAGACCGGGGGGGTAAATTTTTACTTGTGTACAAAGGAATGTATATTCCCTTTGTGTGTTTGCCCTTAGGACAATTATAAAATTATTTCTTTTTACCTGTAGTACTGTATGTGTGTGTGTGTGTAGACACACACACACACAAAACACATACAAATAAATAATAATTGGAAAATCCTCTCACAAATAATCAGAAGCAAATTTATTAAAAATGTGAATCTACCCTCAAGTCCGTCCTCTTTTACAGTTCAGTACTTTATTAATAGAGCACAAACTTGAGAGTAGACTCGCATTTTTAATATATTTGCTTCTGATTATTTGTGAGAGGATTTTCCAATTATTATTTATTTGTATGTGTTTTGTGTATGTGTCTACACACACACACATATTTACAATACAGGTAAAGGAAATTACTATCTCTAGAATGAATGGCTCCTTGTCCCAGCCACGGAAATGCCAGCAACTTTAAAACTACCCACAGACATTCTTGGGTACATCCAGGGTGTCATCCGCGAATAACCGAGAATCGCGAAGTAAAAATCCGCGAACTTGGGGAGGGGGCCCTGTATTAATAAATGACAAATGAACAAGCGGATTCAATAATCCTTTGAAAAATATCAACAGTTCAAAATAACAACAGAAGGTACATAATTAGTCACTGGTTTGATACAGTAGTTCCTATAAAAATGTCAGGAGAGTAAAACCTTACTTCTGTACTTTGAACTATACGGGGGAAAAGGTAGGTTGAACTCGCTGAAAATGCAAAGTTATGGAGTAAAAATTTAATATGATTTCCAGAATATCCACACAAGTAAAACAAGTACGTATTGCATCACTGGTTGAACGATCCCAAATGTGTGCACTCTGTGAGGAGAATGAGCTGGTCAGCCAGTGGTACAACAGTCACTTAGTGGAAGTGGAGCAAGTTCAATCACCAATCTCTTCTGAGTTAATTATCTACCCTGATGAATGGACAGTAAAGTATTTTATCACATAAAGTTGTAAATTTAAATAAAGCCAAAATGTAACATGCACAACTACAATACACAAACTGGGCTCTCCCACTCCTCATGTATGATAGGAAGCAGAACTCTTGGGTCATACCTTGTATAAGGTTTAGAAGCATTCGACCAAAGGCTGAATTATTGGGAGGTTGCTTGGAATATTGAACTTGCCATTTGTTTTTTAAGTACCCTGTATCTGAAAATTGAATAAGTGAGGTTTCACTGATCTTCAGAACTGCTTTCAGCAGACATCATGTACCACTAGATTCTTCTGTCCTCTATGGTCTGTAAGTTATATGTCAAGTAATCTGCAAGATAACATTCAGTAGTGCAGCCCCTCAAAGCTTGCCTTATCCAAGGGGTTGATGCATTTCTGAGACAAGGAAATTGTTGTAAATTTTTCCAGTACAAAAGCTGCATAAACAAACACTCTGCAAGTGAACCACAGGTGTGGGACACTTAAGCCACCATGTCATAACCCATTTTTTGTATTTTATATGAAGTTAAGGTTTTCGATGTAAGCAGCATAGAATATATCCCAGTTTTTTGCCTCCCCTGTTCACCAAAAAGTTTAATTGAGGTTGACATCTCTTCCTTAGACCAAAATCAGTGGAATTGGGTTTTCCTGTTCCCGTTTATTTATAGAATGTTACATGTACAGTACCTAAGACACCGACAGCTTTTGGGGATCATTATACAGTACCGTATATCGGCTCCTTTCTGCCTTTACTGGATATGGTTCCCTTCTTAGCAATTGTGTTAACAGTAGTTATGTCCTATGCAGAATGTTTTGCTAACCATGTGTTAGCAAGGGGAAATAGATAGTAATATCTCTTGGTTGGGGTCTCTTTTACCAAAGTATTTTCCTACTTAGTTACTGGGGTATTTTCTTGAATGGATGTCAGAAATAATCACAATGGTTTTTTTTTTAGAATACACGAGTGCCTCTCCGAGATCAATTTATTCCTTTCAGGTTTGGTCACAAACCTCTAACACTTAAGTTTCCTTATAATTTCAAGATATCAATTTGCATGGCTCAACCAGCCTTCATGAATAAGGATCTGAAATCTCACAGGTTAGTGCATTAGGAGCTCTTGTTATCCAAGAGGCACTAGGTTAATGGGTCAATAATGTACCATGATGAACAGTGCAATACCACAGAGTTGCATAGCCTATAACTGAGGTAGTAAAGTTAGTTTCCTTCTGACCTAATAATAAGATATACTGTACATGCCACATTAAAACTTGGAGTACTTGCATCAACCACCTCCCATTTTCTAGCTAGCTTTGGAATTCAAGAGTTAATTAGTGAAGGCCGTCAGCCATAAATGGAGGATACATCATAATATCTCATTTTATGGGTGAGCCCAGAACAAAGCAACTTGGATGTCCCTCTTCCTCGCAATGGGTAGTGTGGAATTCAAATGTAATTAAACAGTTTAATATGTGAAAACCCAGCTGTGACCAAGCTGAAAAAAGGTCAAGTTGAGTGCCTGCTGACTTGTTGCTCATGATTCATTGCTTTCTACTTTAAGTGGTTAACTGAAGGCCCCTTTTGGGATTTCATGAATTAGTTCCAGTCAATGATGAGTCAAGATTAGACCTGGGGTTTCAATCCAGGCTCATGGCATTATTTCATGAGATACTAAGGTTCTGAGCTTAACCATTAAATGGGATTTCAGGATTAATCTATAATTTTTTATCTACTAAATGAAGGGACTTACCAAGTATATCTTCTGTCCATATTAATACATTGGGCTTTGTCCATAAAGCAATAAATCATCAGTCATTGTTGCACTGGGAAGACCTTCAGATTAAGTAAATAAGATTGGTTCTGTCTTTGTTGATATGGTTACTGTAGTTCCTTTCGGGTTTTACGTCGATATTCGTGTGATGGACAACTTTCTTCATCGCTTTCCGAGTTTGTTTGGAATCTCACAAGTCACTGGACAAATAACCCATAAAATAAAGGATCAATTTTGAAACTTCCTTTTTAATTTCATGACTACTGTATCGGGAAGAGTCTCTCCTACCTTGGTAGGCTGCTCTATCAATGGGGGGAAATAGTGGATTTTCCCAACTGGTCTTTTGATAGGAACACTTTTTTAAACATCACCAGATCATGGTCAAGATTCCACCCTCATTAACCACTGATTCACTGTCATATAACTTGAGTACTGATATATTTAGGACAGTGTCTCTGACTCAGAAATAACCCCAGGACAAGGCAGACTGTGTGCTAGTTGAGGGAATTTCTTAGATATCCTGAATCTTCCTCCCTGCCATAAAATAGAATTTCCAAGTTCACTCCTTATTTATCTACTGATAGCTATATACTCATTTTCTTTGGTTAGCCATTTCAGGTTCAAGTATGTAAAGACTTATTCACGGTCTGTAGCTCACCCATTCATATCAAATTAGAAGTTAGGGAACACCCTTCATGACTGCAGGCTACTACATGTGTGGGTTAATAAGCCCAGTATTCACTATAATGACGTCACTTACTGGATCATGGCGGATGGCTGCCTTCACCACCTCTAGTCCAAATACAACTTCCCCAAATGGACAGTAGTACTGTCCTATGGGATTATCCTTTGAACTAATGCAGAAGCATGAATTGTACTTGGCTTGTCGACCACGTGAACCTCCAACAATTCCCTCCCGAGCAGGACCAAGATACTCTCCCCGCCACTCCAAGCCCTCCATCAGCTGGTGGCTGCTAGGTCCAGCCTCTGTCATGTACACTCCACCAACCAGCCGTTCCCCAGCTTCCCCCTTTCTCGCTACATAGGAGAACCTAGACCCCCTGAAGGTGGGGCCAAGAGTTCCTAGACACAGGGCCAGAAAGTGCTGGGCACGGCGCAGGTGTCCCCACAGGCGGATGTGGACTCGGCCAAGAATCCTGTCTCCCACTCCTAGCTGTAGGAACACCTCGGGCTTCTCCGGAGGCACCAGCAGCTGTACCACTGGTAACTGCAACACAATTAGTATATCAGGATAATGGATGTTGCTGGTGTTATTATAGACAGAGCAAAACCTTAAATTTCATTAAAGGTGCTGGCTATCCTTGATCTATCTCATAAATGATATGAAAGATGATTGGAATTTAGAGAATGTCAAAACATTTGGACATTAAAAAATTATACTGTATTGTTTTCTCTCCCTGAAATACTGTTTAAAGGTTTTGTTTTGAATTGGTCTTACTATACTTTGGTTTATTAAACTTAATGTACTGGTTACTTATATAAATGATCTGTATTTTTACAAATCCAACAGTCAGTCAATTTGCCTGTGTGTGTAATCAGCAAAAATTAATTTGGTGCAGGAATTGCTCATTACAGACCCCAAGTACTGTTTGTGACTTTTTTTTAAGGGCATGAATTTCAAAGACCATGGTTACAGGAATTTTTACCACTAATACAGATGTATTAATGGCAACATTATATACTGTACTGTAATGAGTTGCTTAGGCCTGGCACCCCATAAGGGGTAGTGCAGAGACAGCACACATTATACCTACTGTATTGTACTAAGCCTTCAATAAACAAGTACTGTTGTGTGGCCAGCACTACGCTTGACTGTCTTCTATTTCCTAATTGTATAATTAGGTACCCATTCATAGCTGGGAAAATTGAGGGTACCCTGGACATGAAACAACAGCCCTTTGGACAGGAGTTGAATACCATATCCACTCGGCTGTCATACTCCTTTGCTTAGACTAGGTGTGTGAACATACTCCGGGGAAATAAAGTCACAATTAATCTTCTGGGTCTGCTTAATTTGAAATAGAGATTCTGAATTATCAGATGATAGTGTTACCTGAGCCATGAAGTCGTACCAGTTGATTTTGGGCCAATGAGTGCTGCCTCCTGGAGCACATTGATTCAGCATCCACACAGGACACTCAAACTCTGAGTTAACCTCGACCCCATCTCTCTTGTATGGTTCCTGATCATCAACGTTGCTCACATCAGTCAGCTGCCTATTGTCTTGCCTTACATGTGGCCCCTGGCTGTGGTCCTGAGTCGCATCTGGCTCCTGACTTTCCTCCTGACTTGTATCAGATGCAATTTCTTCATTACATTCTGTGTCTGAGTCATGGCCACAAACTTCTGATGGAGTCTCTTGAGACAATGTTTGGAGGTCATCTTTGATATCAAGGTCTGGCGTACTTGTGTGGGATTCTTGCTCACTGTCATCACTCTCGGATTTTGCTTCTGAGGAAGAAACTGTCTTGGCATTTGTAGTCATCCGAGATGAATTAGATACGCCTGCAGTCATCTCAAACTTTCTTAAAAGCTTGTCTAATACACTGCGGTTGATAAGCAAAGATTTCATCTGTTCAGACTCCTGGGTGGATCTCAGGATATCACTAACAGTCTTGGAATGGTGACTGAGAATCTTGCTGTGACTGTAAATTTTTGCCAACTGAAGGGATACTACACGAAATTTTTCTGTCAAGCGTTTCTTTTCCCCTTCAATATATTTTGTAACACGATCTGCTCGTGATTGTATCACTAGTCTCTCTTGTTCAAGAGCAGTCTGTGTTTTAACAACTTGATGTCCATCTGTCATGTGTTGCTCAAAGAGGCACTGTCCACACAGTGGCTCCTGGCACGAGCAACACCACAGCCTCACAGGGTCACCGTGGCTCAGGCAGGCATCCCACGACACCTCTGGATGTGCCTGAGTTCATCAAGTGAAATTAAAACAAAATTGGACAAGAATTTAAATAAAATTAGCTTGTAAAAAACATAATATGATAAAAATTCAGCTTTACTGTCAGTTATAAAGTTAATGTTAAAGTTAATCTTGGAAGATATCAAAGATACAGAGAATATTTTTAGTTTAACCAAAGGATCACAATGGCACTACATATACAAGTAATTCTGAAATAACATTTGGAACAAACAAAAAACAGTACTGTATGTACAGTACAATATATATATATATATATATATATATATATACAGTCAACCCTCGCTTTACGCGGTCCCACATTCCGCGTTTCCAAGTTTACGAGGTACCCTGCCGAAACTGGAATGCTCACATTCCGCGGTGCGTGTACCCCTTTACGCGGAGAGTGGCTGGTGAGCCGCGCCATTTTTGGATCCAAACCTCCCGCCATGTTGTGTAAGCGGCGCGAGCAGGGTGCGCACAAGGTCGCCCAGTCATCAAAACATTACCTAGTTCTTCACCCGCCACCCACCACAGCCGGCCCAAGTCAGTGATAGTGATAATTATAGTGAGGATATGGACTTTGAGAGGTTTGACAAAGAGGCTCTGCAAGCCTTTGTGGTGGATAGTGATACAGGTGAGGGCCAATAATCTGCCCTCTGCCTCGGAACCAACCCCCCATCCCCGTGTGCCCAGCCATCTTTTCTATTAATGTAAGTGTTAATAAACCTAATATTATTGATATTTCTCTTAATTATTAATTGTGTGTGCATACCATCATAAAATTAAGAAGTTATTTTTACTACAACGTAGGTATTGTGTCTGAAAAAGTGGAGTTTGGGGGTCGGCCCGGTCTCTATTTCAATTAATCCCATATGTTATGTTGTTCACTTTATGCGTTTCTCACTTTCCGCGGTACTCTGTGGGTTGAATTAACCGCGTAAAGTGAGGGTTCACTGTATATATATATATATAGTCATCCCCCGATTTTCAGAAATTTGATGCACGGAAATGGTTAATCTATGAACTAAAATTTGGTAAATGGAAAGCAACATTCACTAAACATTTTTCTTACTACAGTAATACATCCTTTTTGCCACTGATTGGTTCATTAACTGCCATCTCACAGCTGACTGATAATGTGTTTTGGCAATTTATACAGTATTTTCACTCGTGCAGTCACACACACACACACACACACACACACACACACTACCTCTCTCTCCAATTGGTTTAATTACTGCAATATTATATTTGTTTATGTTCAGGATAGTTTTAATAAAGTTTCTTGTTGTGTTATTATGCATATTTGTTACATTATAGTCAAAATTTTGGGTAAAGGTTTACTAAAGCGCTAACACCAGAAGTTGTTAGTTGTTTTTCTTTATTTTTTCTATACTTATTGTTCTTATGATTTTAAGTATATTTAAATAAACGACAACTTTTTATAATAATTTTAAGTATCTTTTAGGATTTTTGTATATACTCTATCCCACTTCACAATCCTCCTCCCAGCGGCATTTCTGTTGTTTATCTCGCTGAATCCCTTGTCAAGAGATGTTTCCTAAATGACGGTGAACGCTTCCACGAATTCCTCCCCGCCATTGCTGAAGTATACCGTATCGACCTCAATATTAAGGTAAGTTGTTTTACACAATAATGCATAGAACCTGACTTAACAAACCCCAACCTATTGGGATTATTAGGTCAGGTTCTATTAGGTTTTATGCATTGTTGTTTCCATTTTTGTGTTTAATATCATGCTAAGTGTTTACAAAAAATTTAAACCAAATCGCACATTTCCTTCTGGTGTTAGCGCTTTCGTAAACCTTTACCTAATTTTGTTGTGTAGAAACCTATCCCCACTTATATAATGTGAGTCTAGGGAAAAATTGGGTTCAATACTGTATATGGCAATATTTTATGGAACCTAACTCTTTCAAATATATATATATATATATATATATATATATATATATATATATATATATATATATATATACATACATACATATATACATATATATACACAGGGGGTCCCCAACTTACGAACGGGTTTAAATTTTTAATTTTTAGTACTGTATTTTATTTACCTGATGACTTATTTTTTTACCTTCATTTACTGTATTTTGTCATTCTATTTCTTCTTTTGTCTTAAATTAAGTGATTTTAAATGTATATAAGGACTTAGGCTATGATAGTGGGATTTCAAACATTGTTCTGTGAGTACGGTATGCATATGGCAGGTGTTCCGACTTATGTACAAATCCAATGTAAGAAAATCCTCAGGAACGGAACCCGTTTGTATACCAGGGACCCCCTGATGGAGAGAGGAAGAATTTCTCCTTTAAAGAAACAATAATGGATGCCTACCTTTATAGTCGTGTGTGATGACACCATATTAAGGATGACATAAACCACGGGCAGATCAGCCACGGGCGGACCGGAGTAACTGCTTCTGCAGGTTGGGCAGCTGAACGCTGGGTCTCTGGCCTGCAGGTTAATGAGGCAGGCGCGGCAGAAGGTGTGGCCACATTGAGGAAGTACCACGGGCTCTCTCACTCCACCCTCAAACACCTCCGAACACACCGAACACGTCAGATCATCCATCCCTCTTGCCTCTCCCTCCTCCTCCTCCTGCATGAAAAATTGGTATTTAGGTAATTGTGGTATTGGGGAGGATGCATGATACAGTACATAGATGGACATGTTCTGTCTCTCAGTGAGGTCCTCTCCCTTCATGTTAACTTTTAGTGGGGTGTTGTAATGAGGTGCTGCAAGTGTCTTATGTTTACCTTCACTCTCATGTTGACAAAAGCATGTACAGTATTTTACTTGATGATGATGTGGATTGAATGAATTAAAATGTTAATTTCTAGTCTTCCAAAATTTTGAGGGGATAAGTAAATACTGCACAGGCATACCCTGCATTACACAATCTCTGGTTACTAAATTTCGCCCTTACGGAATTTTGAAACTACGACCATAATTTCGGGTTATGAAAAAAAATAACCTTTATGGAGTTTTGCTAATTTAAAAAAGAAATTAAGAAAACTTTTGTGATTTTTTAACCTAAAATTGTAACAAATTTTTTTAAATTATTTTGTGTGGATTCTCTGTGGTGGCCACAAGGCGGTTGGAAGATCACTCAAATCCCGAGTTGCGAGCAACCACCACAACAATGGCGCTGCTCAGTTAGAATTCTTTCCCCAGCTTGTATTTAGTTCTGCATCTGTGTTTAGGACTTTATTTGGCCGAATAATATTTTGGTTAATTTATTAAGATTTTCTAAAGAAAAAATCGTGATATACAACAAAAAATTGAACAAAAAATTAAAGCGAAATTAAAAAAAAAAATTGTGTGGATTCTGGCTCAGCTCTCCAGGCCCAGCTGTTAGCAGCCGCAACAATAATGGTGCTGCTCGGTTTAAATTCTTAACCCAGTTTGTTGTTTTCAGTTATGTGTCTGTGTTACTGTGCACTATACCCTTATTCAAGATGAGTGGAAAAAGACCACCAAGTTCAAGTGAAAGCAGTGGTGATAAAAGACTCCATAAACGAATTGCTTTGTACATTAAACTTGATGTTTTAAGGGGGTGTAACTCCCAGTAACTTTGATCCCACAACCTCACCCCACCACCTCCTGCAGCACTCAATGTCATTTCTGGTAAGTAAAATTTGAGTGGTTTGTTCATTTATTATCATGTTACAACATGAATGACCAGAGGCAGATCCAGATATCAAAAAGGGGGAATATGGCGGGCCCAGCGAGCCCACCCTGATTTTTTTTTTAATCTGATCAAAATCATGGGCATTTTGAGGCCATCTGCACTTGATAATAAGATATATTAAGTCAATAGTACACCTGTAATTACTTTTAACTACAGTATTACCCCGTTTTACGTGGTTTTTTTTACGCGTTTCCACGTTTACGCGGTACCCTGCCAGACCAGGGATGCTCACTTTACGCGGTGCATGTACTCTTTTACGCGGAGAGCGGCTGGAGGTCATCTCGCGCCACGCCATTTTTGGATTCAAACCTCCTGCCGTCTCTCCCGCCGC